ACACACACACACACACACACACACACACACGGTTTTCTTTTTGTGGCTAAGGCTCTGTATACTTTTGATGAAACAAAGCTTGGCAACAGTATCCATTCTCCTCTGCCGCCTGCTTTTCCCCTGTTGTGTATGAACAATAGACATTGTGTAGAAACAGCAGGCAGCAAACTGGAGCCTCCTCCAGGCTTCTACCCTGCAAGGCTCCCGTCCCACTTGGACCAAGCCAGGGGGGCTTGTCCCTTCTCAAGTGAGACCAAGCCTGCTGGCGTCCTGCCTTAGGCGTCAGGCTGAGTGGCTGATTAGCTTTTGTTGGTGGGAAGGAAACAATATTACAGCTGCCATCCCCAAGGGCGCTGGGTGCCATTGAGAATGCTACACATTTGGGCCTGGTGTCACGCCTGTAATTCCAACACTTTGGGAGGCTGAGGTGGGCAGATCACCTGAGGTCAGCAGTTTGAAACTAGCCTGACCAACATGGTGAAACTCCATCTCTACTGAAAATACAAAAATTGGCCTGGTGTCATGGTGCGTGCCCGTAGTCCCAGTTATTTGGGAGGCTGAAGGCAGGAGAATTGCTTGAACCTGGGGGGCAGAGGTTGCACTGAGCCGAGATTGTACCACTGCACTCCAGCCTGGGCGACAGGGTGAGACTCTGTCTCAAAACAACAACAAAAACCTCTATACATTTGACCCCTGGACCCCAGACCAGCCCTGCCCCACGCGCACCCTGTACAGCTGAGGACAGGGAGGCAGAGATGGAGAGCTTGGCCAGCACCTCATTGTCACGGGTGGAGCTGGGATTCAGATCCCGCCGTCTGTCCCCGTGCATCAACTGCACATGTCACCCACTGCACAGTCCCTCACATGGTCACTGTGTGTTAGCATCCTAGGCACCCTGGCTGCCTGTTACTTGGCCCTGGTCATCACCGTGCAGTACTACCTCTGGCCCCAGGGCCTCGTGCGCGAGTCCCGTCCTTCACTGAGGTAAGTCTGAGGGAACAGCTTCTGGCAGCCTCTGTGGGGAGGCGTGGCAGGGGAGTCTTCCAGGGGAGTCTCGGAGGAGGAGCCTCTCTTGGCTCACGGCAGAGCCTGGGCTCCTTCCATGCAGTTCTTTCCGTCTCTGATGCGGTGAAGGCAAGGGAGGGCCACTTTCCTTCTGCTGCAGGGACCTGGCTGTGGCTAGTGATGACTGGGACGGGCCAAGGGACGCAAAACCGCCAAAGGCTGCGGCAGCCAAGGGGTCATAGGCTGTTGCAGACTTGTCCCCACAGCGTGGAGGTACATAACCTGGCAGCCAGCCAGCCGCAAGTGCCGGCGCAGGGGAACAGTGAGGGGGCCGGTGTGGCCAAGCCAGCCAGAGCAAGGGCAGAGAGCGTGGGCGGGGATGTCGTGTAGGGATTCAGAGCCACAGGAAGGAGTTTGGTTTTGCTCTGGATGAGTTGGGAGATTTGGCAGCATTTTGAGTACAGCAGGGATGTGACAGGACCTGTTTTTTAAAATGGTCACTCTGGGCAGGGTGTGGTGGCTCATACTTGTAATCCCAGCACTTCGCCAGGCTGAGGCAGGTGGATCACTTGAGGTCAGGAGTTCAAAACCAACCTTGCCAACATGGTGAAACCTTGTCTCTACTTAAAAATACAAAACGTAGCCAGGTGTGGTGGCACGCACCTGTAATCTCAGCTGCTCAGGAGGCTGAGGCAGGAGAATTGCTTGAACCGGGAGGCAGAGTTTGCAGCGAGTCAAGATCATACCACTGCACTCCAGCCTGGGCAACAGAGCAAGACTCTGTCTCAAAAAAAAAAAAAAAAAAAAAAAAAAAGCTCACACTGGCTGTTCTGTCGTCTTTGGGAACCAGGGGCAGCAGCAGAGACCAAGTAGGAGGCCCCTGCCTAGATCCCAGGTCCCAGACCTGGTGGCTTCAGAGGAGGCCGTGAGGAAGAGTCAGACTGGATATGCTTGAGATCTGATTTCCCAGTGGCAGGGCTGGCTCGTGGGTGTGGGACCCCTGCAGTCACCCAGTCCCCGTGCTCAGTGTAACCCTCTGCTGTTGCCGTCTTAAAATTCTTAATCATTGTCCAACAAAGGTCACCACACGTTCCTTTTGCACCTGGCCCTGTGAATTCTGTAGCCAGTGCTGCGGGTGGGTTGGACGGTGAGCAAGAGAGAGAAGAAAGTCAAGGTAACTTGGAGCTCTCCGCTTGAACAATGGGAAGGACAGAGATGCTGTTTCCCGGATTAGAGAGGACTGACAAGGGTGGGTCCCTGGGAGCAGCTCAGGCTGGAACAGTCAAGGTGGAGCCGACCTTGAGATGTCTAAGAGGGAAGTCAAGCAGCTGGGCAGGTCTGTGTGTCTGAAGTTCAGGGAGAGAGGTCCTGGCTGGCAGCAGAAACGTGGCTGACATTGGCCCAGAGACGGCGTTCAAGGCTGTGAGTGCTGAGATCCGTACACTGAGCTGGTGGTACTTTAGCACAGGCAGGTCAGGGGGATGAGGAGGCCCTGGTAAAAACAGGAGGTGGTGAGTTAGGATATGTGAGTGTCCAAGGGCTGCTGTGACAAGTGACCACATATTCTGTGGCTTAAAATAACAGAAATTTCCCTCACTTCTGGTGCCTAGAAGTCCAGAATCAAAGTGTGGCCATGCTCCCTCTGAAGGCTCCAGAAGCGGATCTTTCCTGCCTCTTCCCAGTTCTGGGGGCAGCGATCTGTGTTCGTTGGCTGATAGACGCATCACTGGGTCTCAGCCTTCATCCTCACACTGTGTTTTCTCTGTGTATTTGTTTTCCCTTCCAATTGGGGCGGCAGGCATTGGATTCAGGCCTACCCTAATCCAGCATGACCTCATCTTACTTTCAATAATTACACCTAGAAAGCCTGTCAAAGGAAGCTGGGAACCAGGCGGGGATCCCAAGAGGCTGGACCTGGAGGTTTTCTCTCCATGCAGACCTCTCTCCTCTAAGGTGGCTTGGACGGAGCTCAAACCATCCTTGTGCTATTTGGGATCATTGTGTGGATGCTGTGGGTGCCCCCCCATTACCAAACCGCACTGGGAGCCAGCAGCCTTCAAGAAGGAAGTTGGGAGTTCCTATTGCTGTTTCCCTGCCCGAATTCTGCCCACATGGAAAATGTCATGTTACCAAATGTCAGCAAAGACGTATTTAGAAAGTGTAGCATTTAGCCAGCATCCTTTTCCATTCCCAAAAGCCTGGTCACGGACACAGTCATTAAAAATACAACTTGCAGCCATGCTCTGTTACATTTTCCCAGCATCCTTTCAAATTCACCCTTGGAGCCGCAGGTTGTTCCGGGTGTGACCCTTCTTTAATAAACTCCTGTTCTTGTCTGTTTACAGCCCTGCCTCCTGGACCTCTGTGTTCAGTGTCTTCCCCACCATCTGCTTCGGGTTTCAGGTAATTTGAGCATCTGTGTTGAAGACTGTGGCATTTGCAGAGGCTGTGGGTGACTCTCTGCTCCATCGGGAAACCTTGGTTTCTCTGTTAGGGAGGCGTTTGAGGACTTCTAGAATACACTGGGCTCTCTGCTGCCAACCTGTGGTCTCCAGGCTGTCTTTCGAGACCACGAGAGTGGGTTGGTGTCTGGGTTCAGGGAGGTGGGAATTGCCTTGAACTTGGGAATCCAGCCCCCACTGATGGCCAAAAGCAGCACCATGTTTATTGGGTCTCGGGTAGAGTGTGGGGACCTGGGACCTGTCCCTTCCTCTGCAGAACCCCCACAGGGCTGTGATCAGACCTGAGGCCTGGAGGCCTAGAGCTTTCTACTTAACTCTGGCACGACAGTTTTACCCAGGTGGACTCTGCCCAGGGCCTTGGGCAGGAAAGATCCTGCTTCCTGAGGGGTACAGGGTAGAGGAGCTGGAAGGTGTACAGGTAGCTGATTAGAGAGGGGGAGGGGACAGGAATACAGAATTTTTAATAGAATATCATGGGAGGGAGGACGAGGCTGTATATGTAGAATCCTGGCAGAGGGGTAGAGTCAGAGGTGTCTGCTCAAGGTGGTAGGGTCTGAAAGGGATCTTGAAGGACATATGGGCAGCAGCCAGGTGACTGGGAGTGCACCCCAGGTAGAGAGGACAGCACAGGTGGGCCGCCGATGTGAGCCGGCCCCAGGCACAGCTGGAGAGAGACGTGCAGAGGGCTCTGTGGCACGGTGCTAGGGGAAAGGTGGCCGGGGATGGGGGAACGGCAGGGAGGCGGCGGGCCTGGGCTCAGTCCCCTGCTTCTGGGCTGTCATGGGTACCCCTAGCCCTCCTAGCAGGTGGCAGCAGACACTGTTCTTCCATTGTTTTTTGTTTTTCTTTTTTGAGTTGTAGTCTCACTCTTGTTGCCCAGGCTGGAGTGCAGTGGATCTCCGCTCACTGCAACCTCTGCCTCCCAGATTCAAGCAATTCTTCTGCCTCAGCCTCCCAAGTAGCTGGAACTACAGGCATGCGCCACCATGCCCAGCTAATTTTTTTTGGTATTTTTAGTACAGGGGGTTTTCGCTATGTTGGTCAGGCTGGTCTCGAACTCCTGACCTCAAGCAATCTGCCCACCTCGGCCTCCCAGAGCGCTAAGATTATAGGCGTGAGCCACCGTGCCTGGCCATGTTGCTTATTTTAGGGAAGATTTACCTCTATCTCCTAAAAACAACCACCTATCCACTGCCTACTACCAGCACCAACAAAACCATTCCAAAGTAAAATCAAGTCCACAGGGAGATGCGTCCAGGGTTTACCACTGGATCTCAGCTTTGTAGCCATTGAGCTCTTCTCTTCCCTTGACCATCAGTGAGCTCTGCTTCTGTTCTTCATCTTGCCTTTTCTTTGAGAACCCTTTTCAGGAAAGAAAAAAATCCTGAAAGATTTCCATTTCTCTTCCGCATAATAAGTCGGCGTACTGCTTCAGGGCCTCAGCAAGCCACTTCCGTGCATTTCTCACATTGCTTCTTGCATGCCCAATATTTTGAAAGATCTAAAGAACTGATTTTGCTGTCAACTGTTTGTCTGGACTGGGTTTAACAACCCCTCTCTGTGCCCAAGCGCCATATGGTGCGGCAGATCCACGCTGGGGCCGCCTCCCCGATGCTGGCAAGCGGTGCCCCTCACCTTTGCCTCCAGCCCTCATCCGATTCTCCTAGCAACCAGGCCTGGGCTGCGTCTCCAGGGACACGAGATGCTGAGATGAAGAGCGGGGAAGGATGAGAATTGAAGGAGTGGGAGTAGGGGCTCAGGCTAGAGGTGGGGGCTGCCAGGATCTGAAGCGGGGGAGAATAAATGTAGGTGAAGGTGCTGGGAAAAGGGGGTGAGGCTGGAGAGGGCTGCAGGGAAGGGATGGTCACATACTGTCATCAGGAACTCTGACCTGATTCAAACACAGCGTCCCCGCCCAAACACATTTGGCAATGGGGCACCCCCGCCCCAGGCCTGTCCAGTCTGTGAGAGGGACTCAGGAGCAGAGGGGTCGTGTCCACCCCCAGCCAGTGCGGCTATGCCAGGATTTCTGGTGGTTTTTTTTTTTCCTTTTGTGACAGACTCTCGCTCTGTTGCCCAGGCTGGAGTGCAGTGGCGCGATCTTGACTCACTGCAACCTCCGCCTCCTGGGTTAAAGCGATTCTCCTGCCTCAGCCTCTTGAGTAGCTGGAACTACAGGCACCTGCCACCATGCCCAGCTAATTTTTGTATTTTTAGTAGAGATGGGGTTTCACCACATTGGCCAGGCTGGTCTCGATCTCTTGACCTTGTGATCCACCCACCTCAGCCTCCTAAAGTGCTGGGATTACAGGCGTGAACCACTGTGCCCGGCTGGTTTTTGTGGTCTTAAAAAACATTTTTGTTAAGATAGAATGCACATACCATGCCATTCACTTTTCTGAAGTGTACAACGTAATGGATTTTAGTATATTCAGAGCTGTGCCACCATCACAGTCAGTTGAGAACCTTTCTGTTGCTCCCAGAGGAAACCCATCGCCGTCAGTCGCTCTCCATTCTCCACCCCTGCCCGCAGCTTTTGTGCTTCCTGTCTCTCTGGATTTGCCTACGATGGCCCTCTCCTAGGAATGGAATCCCACTGTGGCCTTTAATGACAGGCTTCCCTCCCCACCGTGCTGGTGAGAGTCATCCATGTTGTAGCCACCCTACGTGTGGTCAAATAACGTTCCGTTGTGTGGATAAGCTGCGCTTTATCCCTGTGTCCTTTGATGGACATCTGGGTGGGGTCCACTTTTTGGCCACTGTGTCGTCTTGCCATCTCTTTCCATCACCGAGCAATGAGTGCCTGCACACTGCCACCATCTCCTGGGTGCCACCCGCCCTCAGCAGGCCTGCTCTGCTTCCCCTTATAAAACCAGTAGAGGCCGGGCGCGGTGGCTCATGCCTGGAATCCCAGGACTTTAAGAGGCTGAGGCTGGTGGATCACCTGAGGTCAGGCGTTCAAGACCAGCCTGGCCAACATGGTGAAACCCCATCTGAACAAAAAATACAAAAATTAGCTGGGCATGCTGGCGCGGGCCTGTAATCCCAGCTACTTGGGAGGCTGAATCAGAATCCTTTGAACCCAGGAGGTGGAGGTTGCAGTGAGCCAAGATCATGCCACTGCACTCCAGCCTGGGCTACAGAGCAAGACTCTGTCTCAAATAAAAAACAACAAAAAACACCAGTAGAAACCCAACTGGGGAGTCAATGGGGAGAAAAGGAGGCACCTCCTGCCCACCAGCCTGTCGGGCACTACTGACTATCTTCTCTCTTATACTGGACTCAGCTGTGCCTCTATATGCAGAGCTGCGGTTCCGGGACCCCCCACCTTGGGGCACCTAGGTGACCTGAAGGCAGAGCCTGCGATGGGGCTGAGGTGCTGGCGCCCCTTTAGGAACAGGAAAGGGGCATCACGGGGGTCCCCATTGTGGGCACTGGGGCTCCAGGTCCACAGGGCTGACCTGAGTGTGTGGGGTGAACCCCACAAGTGCCGTGGGGGTGCAGGAGGCAGAGGGTTGATCCGCAGAGTCCCAGAGGTGTCGAGTCCCCACTGCTGGTGGAACCCTCCCGTAGGTCAGGGAAACCTGGGGGCAGAAAGCAGGGGTGCACGGCGCCTGAGGTCAGTGGAAGGGGTGTGCTCAGTGGGGGCTGGAAGCCGGAGGGAGGAGGCCACTGTGCCCTCCTACATCTACAGAATGTGTCCTGGGAGTGGGAGGATGGCTGTGCTGGGCTTGTTTCCTTGGCTTTGCTCACTTGCACCGAGTGGGAATCATGAGTGACAGAGAGCAGGGCTGGGTGGAGGGAGGCCTGGTGGCTACTGGGTGGGTTCACGGGATGGGTAGGTGGGTAACCCCTGGAGTGTTCATTCAGCTGGGTGCAGGCTCCGATCCTGGCCCAAGTTCAGAGTCCTGAGCAAGGCAGACGTGGTCGTTGTGTGGTTGAGAGATGCTGAGCAGACAAAATGAAAAGCCTGCTTATGTTGAAGACACGGGCCGTGTGAGAGAGGAAACCAGCCCACTCGGGAGGACTCCGCGGGAGGGTGTGGAGGAGCTGGCTGGACCAGGAGAAAATCCTGCCAGAGGGACCAGCACAGGCAAAGGCCCTGAGGCAGGGAGGGGAGACCCAGCCAATCTGAGCTCCTTGTATAGGATCCTTGCAGGGTGGGCAGGAGCGAGGCCTCGGCATGTTTGGTTTTAACCAGGAGTGAGTGAGTGGGTGTAATGGTGGGAACCAGCCCTGGGAGCCTGGGAAGAACGCCGAACCCACCAGTGTGTCTGGACCGAGCAGAGCCTCCCTGCCTGGTGTGTCTGGACGGAGCAGAGCCTCCCTGCCCCTCGTGTCTGGACAGAGCAGCCTCCCTGCCCCTCGTGTCTGGACAGAGCAGCCTCCCTGCCCCTCGTGTCTGGACAGAGCAG